CTCACTCATTCTCAAAAATGTCAAGTATCACCTTAATTTAATAATGTGGAATAAAACCTAAAGGTGAAATGAGTGACTGAAATAATTCTGACTGATTTTATACATTCATTCAGTGGAGCTAATCTGAGATGACATTTTCCAGGAGCCCAGTAATAAGCGAGTGCGATCCCTGGCTAAAGTTTCATCTCTCGTCAACCTGATATCTCCGTCGAAAAACGGAGCAGTGCGGCGCTTCGGCCAGTCCATTCAGGTAAACGTCGACCCGTTCACACGTTTATTACCAAGAAATAAGACGTAATTGTCTTTCCTACAAACAGGTGAATTTGTTTTTCCCCCCATCTTCTCCCCAGTCCATGTCGTTACGTAACGATGGGAAGTCGCCGGGGACGACTCTCAAAGCTGCCAGCAAGGCCCCAGCTCCGACTCCCACCAAACGCAGGAACAGCACGCTGTGGTCAGAGACACTGGACGTCCATCAGAAGAGCGCCTTCTCTGCTAAGGAAATCAAAAGACAAGAGGTAGTGCGAGTCAACATTTTCGAGCTGACACAAGGAAACAGGAAGGTTAATAGATCGTATTTATCCTGCAGGCCATTTATGAGCTTTTCAGGGGCGAGCAGGACCTCATCGAGGATCTGCAACTGGCACGAAAGGTTGGGAAAACTTCCTGCAAATTAAATGAAACATCTCGTATTAAATGTTTTCACAATCCCCTTGTGGCGCTTCCCGCATTCAGGCCTACCACGACCCCATGCTCAAACTCTCCATCATGACCCAGGAGGAACTAGCTCACATTTTTGGTGACCTGGACGCATACATCCCCCTCCATGAGTGTAAGCTGCTGCTGACCAGCCTGTCCTTTAAAGCCCCATTTGTTCCTAGTCTCTGCTCCTGATTGGGTGATCTTTGTTTGTTTTCTTTTTATCCTGCAGACTTAACGGTGAAGCTCACAGAGGGAACGGGCCCTGATGGAACCGTAGATCAGATCGGCCAGATAGTGATAGACTGGGTAAGCATAAAAGCAGGAAGACATAATGTGACACATTATATTATTTCAGTGCACTAACCAGTAAAACGTCCTTTTAGCTGCCTGGCCTGAACGCTTACAAAAACTACTGTAGCAACCAGCTTGCAGCCAAAGCGCTGCTGGACCAGAAGAAACAGGACAAGCGGGTGCAGGACTTCCTGCAGCGCTGCCTGGAGTCGCCTTTCAGCAGGAAGTTGGATCTGTGGAGCTTCCTGGACATCCCACGCTCACGTCTGGTGAAGTACCCTCTGCTGCTGAAGGAGATCCTCAGACACACTCCTCCTGATCACCCCGATGTAACCAGTCTGGAGAGAGCGGTAGGTTCAAAGACAGTTACAAAGTCGATCTTTTATCATCTGAAGAATGTGTTCAGGATTAAGGGACTAATGTCCCTGCAAGATCTAGAGAAAGTCATCCATGTGTTTATCTATTGTCGCATGGATCACTGTAACAGTGTCTTCAATCAAAAATCAATCATCCAGCTGCAGCTGATCCAGTACGCTGAAGATGGAGCACATCATATTAAATTTGAGTTGGTGACACCTGCTGAAACCCTGGGACTGTGCTTAATTCAATTCAGTTCAATTTAATTCAGCTCAAATCACGAGAGACAAACAGACTCAAAAGTGGTAGCTCAGACAATATAATTCATAAAATTCACACATACCTACAGATATATTTACTAAAAAGCGCATTTTTATGACTGTGTGCATTGTGAAGTAATTATGTAACCCAAGTGCAGCAGTGTAGCAAGAGTTCATTTAAAAAAAAGCAATAAGAGTTGTTAACATTATGCCAGAAGCTTGATGTCGACTACATATAACGTGTAGCTTTTATGCAAAGTCTTGAAAGACATTTCTTCAATTATTGGATGCATGTAAATATTATCTGAGCCTTTATATCTGGTTTTGACATTGTGAGAATTATGTTCACCCAGTTCCTCTTTTTAGAACTCATTAGAGTTTAATTATTACTCTACACCCCAAAGACAATCCTTCAAATAACCCACTAAAAGCTCCAAATGACTGAAACATGTAAACATTTGACTGGAACTGTATTTTACACGTTGCCGCTGTTCCAAATCGTTCTTCCATTTGTGATCCAGATCACAATAATTCAGGACATTTTGTCTGACATCAACGTGACAAAAGGGGAGTCGGAGTGCCAGTATTACATAGACAAACTGGAGTTCCTGGATGAAAAGCAGTGGGACCCTCTCATCCACGAGTGTAAGACCCTGCTGTGTCACGGCGAGCTTCGGACCAAGAGCGGTTCGGTGAGAACGGCGGCTCGTCACCTCACCTCTCTCTGGAACTGTAATCTGGACAATGTAATCTTATTTCTCCATGGTAACGGTTGTTGCAGAGGCTACACGTGTTCCTCTTCTCCGAGCTGCTGGTTCTGACCCGACCGGTGACGCGTAACGATAGGAGCTGCTTCCAGGTGTACCGGCAGCCCATCCCAGTGAGAGACCTGGTTCTGGAGGACCTCCAGGACGGAGAGGTTCGCTTAGGCGGGTCGTTCAGGGGGGCGTTCACAAATGGAGAGAAAGGTAAGTAGAGCCGTGCTCCGCAGTGACGCTGCAGGGGGTTATGCTGCTTTCCAACTTATTCCTTCGGGTCCACTGTTTGTTCGTCCCGCTTTGTACATGACGGTTTCCACTAGGGGTGAAACGATTAATCGTGATTAATCAATTATTGAAATAATCATCAACTAATTTAGTAATCGATTCGTCGTTAACTGGAGTATGCAGACTGGAAAAAATGCCAGTCTGGCTGCCTGGCCTGAACGCTTACAGGCCAGTATGTTGCTGAAAGAACAACATACTCAGAGCAGTAACTAAGATAAAACTTTACCAAAAATATGTACATTTTCCATTTAAGATTAAAAAAAATTTTTTTTGTCTATAAATATCTTCTACGCAAAACTCCTCAAACGGGATTGTTTTAGCTTCACCCAGTTCAAATTCTGGAAAAAAAAAAAAAACCCGTCCTATTAAACACCTGTTGATATTCAGCTGTTAATCCAGAAATAATACACTGCCTTGATGTTGCGTTGCTTTTCACATGTTGATGTTAGAAGTATCGTTTAGCTCCAGATGAATCCTTTGCTAGAAATAACCAAGCTAAAGGAATGTATTGTTTTTGCATTTTAGGCAATAAAATATTTTTCTTATTATAAAAGAAATGAAATTGTTTATTTGCATCTTTTAATATATTTCTAATATTACATGAAATAGTTTAAATGAAAAATCTGCAGAATAGGCCAATTATTTTATCCGATTAATCATCAGAATTATCGACAGATTAATCAATAACTAAAATAATCGTTAGTTGCAGGCCTAGTTATTGTGTTCACATCCATTCAAGTGTCATGTCAGCAGTTTAGCATGAGCCGTCTAGTCGTGGCTTAACATGCATGGAAAGCTAATTAAATAACACTTTCTAGATAAATAAGACTGAACATTTATTTTTGGCCCATTGGAAGTCGGATTTCTTTTTCCCCCCCAATTGACCTGAGATGTTGAGTTAATTGAGAAAATTTGTCATAATTTTAAAACGTAATCAAAAATAATCCTTTTTTTTTTTCTTTTTTTTTTAAACAAGTAATTGCACAATTTCACAAACCAGTTTGGCCTTCTTGAAACTGTCTGAACACGTCGAAGCTGTGAGTGGGAGGAGAGATTAAGAATCTGGCCTTCAAACGTAAATTTTGGTTCAGTTTACATTGTCAGTAATAATCCTTGGATTTTCCTTTTACTGCGTCTCTCTGGTTGCTTTGAATCTCTAAAATAATGACATACCTTATGGTTTTTAAACACATTTCAGGATAGCACCCGCACTGCCATGACCTGGTTAACAGTACTATTTGGATCGCACAATATCACGAAAATATATTTCTGGTGAAAACTATAACGATATTGATTATGATTAAGCCAGGTTTTCCTGACTCTTTTCAATCTTTACCATTACACACTGGAAATTTACTAAAAACACATCAGACAGACGAAAGGCCACCCAGCTGGGGAAATGTATCATCAATACGCAGAGTGTGAATTGCACAACGCTGATGTATAATAATCTATCAAGCAATACATCCACGCAGTTCTTTGTAATTGCAATACTGAACACACGGACATTGTAGTGACAGCTGCATTTTGATATACTGTACATATTAAAATCTGACCCAAATCCTAATTAATGGTTTTGGATTTGATTTCAATTTGTTCATTTCTGCTCATCCAGTCTCTATTTGAAAACTCACAGCAGGTACTCAGTTGGGTTACGATTTGTGAAAAATGCATAATATTATATTGCACTTTAATGAACCGTATCGGGGTTCAGTTTGGGCATGAGACTGAACTCATTGTAGCTCACAGCTTTTCTTTCTCTGCACAGATGATATCAGGTGTCCACAAAAAAATGATTCATGAGACAAAATAACTTTTACACCAGCTTCTGTTGCCCACTCTTGAACTTCCAGTACGATTCAGTCTGGTCTTGATATTATTCTAGAACAAAAGCAGAAATAATTAAAAAAATGTTGCTAAAACTCACCTCCACTTCAGTGTTCATGCAGATGCCAGTTCCAAAAAGACGATCCTGCAGACA